AAAGGTCGGATACTTTTCTCACAGGCCTCGTATACAAATTTATTTCCTTATTTTTTTTATTCTCAAATCAAATTATGCAACCCTTCTTCATTGTATGTTTGAGATTAGAGACCTTGTTCTTGATCCAGTAGAAAGCTACTACTATTATCACTAATGCCATTGTCAGCACCAAACCTATTTTTGAATGTTACCACAGCATCTTTGGGATTGATAGATGGATTTGTCTCAACAAGGACCATCCATCTGTTTTTATTGCATCCACAATGGCTGAACAAGTCAAACATCAGAACAGCGGACATTCAGGTAATCGCGAGGGAATAATGGTGTCTGATGTTCCAGTCATGGTTAGTGGGGCTTGGAGCTATCTTCTGAAAAACAGATGCAACAATGGGTAAAGGAGAAAGAGGCTCACGTAGTAGACCTGACATTCACATAGCAAGAAATGCTGTCATTAACTATGAGACTTCTGCTGATGATGTGGCCAGTCAGTTTCTGCTGATGTTATGGCCAGTCAGTTTCTGCTGATGTTGTGGCCAATCTGTTTCTGCTGATGTAGTTAGTCAGTTTTTTATCAGCTTTGAAAACTGTAAACAGTAATCATTGAATCTCATCATTGATTTCAAAACTGTAATAATTGTATCTCATCGTTGATTTCAAAACTGTAAACTGTAATCATCATATCTCATCACTGAATTGAAAACTGTAAGCTGTAATTGTTGTACCTCATCATTGATTTTAAAAACTAAACTGTAATCACCATATCTCACCATCAGTGGTGTGGGAACGGTGTGCCCTTACCTTTTTTTTTATCCAAAATGCCGTTCCCTCACTATTTCAAACAAATCTGACCTTAGAAATTTCAAACGTCATGAAATTTTGCCCACCCCTAGAAGAAAGAATCATCAACCCTTTCATCCAAGTTGTGGGCAAGTTATCAACGTATATTGAAACAAAATATTGTAAAATGCTAAATAAAATATGTAGTTCAGTTAGTATTGATCACAAAGTTCTAAACAACTTATGGTCAGAGTTTATACTTCTCACCTTTTCCCACTTATTTTCTGTAGTTATTATATTGTTAGCAACTGACTTAGAAACTCAACAAAACAAAATGAATAGTACTGTAGGGACTCTTCAGCATGGACCATGAAATTCCAAAGTATATATTCGGAGAATTTCTACTTCCAATTTTTTTCATACCTATTTCCAATGTTTTCCTGGCTTCTAAAACACAGTTGGGGAGGGTTTATTTGGATTGTTTGTAGTACAGTAATTGCAACAAGCATTGTCTAAAGTACTATATAAAAGTGAGAGAAAATATTTATGATATGGCTGTATACAAAGTCTGATCCAATCCAATAAACTTGTTAGGTATTTTAATGTTAGTTACCTCCCGAGGTGGTTGGGATTTAGTGTTAGTATAGGTGTAATAGTGTATAAGTACTTATGAACATCCCGTTTCATATTTAACCATACTTACACAGTAACCAGTAAATGCTTAGTTTCCAGTAATATAAATATGGCCTGTTTTTGGTTTAGCTAATATTTCTAACTTAGCCTTCTTGTTAATCACTTTAAAAGCCTCACAGAAAATGGATGTTTAACAAGGTTTATGCAGAAGTGTTAATTAAAAAATGTTTTGTAGCAGCATACAGTTTTTAGAAGCAATGAATGAAAATAATGATAAAAAGTTTTAATAACAGAGAATGCCATTAAGGAAATGAAGTTTCGTTAATAACACTGACAGATAACAACAAGATTGTTTCAATCAGTCATGGTCAATTTTTAACCAGTATCATAAACAATATGAAACAATGGTTATTCACACCAACTTCTTCTCATGAACTAAATGAGTCATGGCCAGGCACTTCTAATTCCATCTCAAACCTGATTTCTGAGCTCCATACCTTAGAAGTCAATGAGTGGCCAGCAGAGTTAAATCCAGGCTTTGAAGAAAAGGAAATAGAGTCCCCTTGTAAACATTTCAGATTCACATTTTCAAAAACAACCACAGCATGGCCATACAGACTTTCTAGACATCTGTCGGTGCTATATTCTATCAGATCTGAATCCTTTTAATCGGGTGTTCAAAAGTCATCCCATGCAGTTCTTCCGAATGCAAACAACTCTTGAGAAGCATGAACCTTATCATTACGGAAACGAGGTCTAGGCTGTTAATTGACCATATGTATACAAATGGCTTAGGTGTCTTTTAACTTCCAAGTTTGGTCTATAGTGAGTTCTTTGGACTTGGCTACTCTTATTTGTGCATCAGTAGCTGACCAGTTTTCAAATAATGGTGAGCAATGGTGTAGTGCTAAATAAAGAAGTGAGGGAATGTGTTTTAAAAGTGTTGCTATGATTAGTATTTATCATGTCACCAATACATAAAAACACATATTTCAGTAATAGTAGCTGTAAATTATAATTGTAATTGAAAATGTTACAATAAAAAAAATTATTTTCTCTCACCTTGAACTCCTCGATAACTTGTTAACACAATGAATGAATGAATTGCTTCAAGGCATCTGGGAAAGTTGCGAATGTCTCAAACTGAGAACAGGAAGTTGCTTTGAAGAACTGGAAGACTTGAAGTGTTGTAACATAACATGTCTGTTGAAGTAGAACAGAGCAGTGACAAAACAAAAAATATGTGATCTAGAAATGAAGCATGGTAAAACATGGATTAAGCAATGACATAACATAGAGAATTTTTAATAAACTTGAAATTGTCTTTGCACGACATTTTATCTATTTATGATCTGAAAGGATTACCTTGTTAGATATTGTTAGATAGAGTCTAGCAATACTTTGATTTTAGTATTTAAACTTGATTTTGTACTTTTAAATTTTGTGGAATGGTCCCTTTTCAGAGGATCCAAGGTTTAGATGTTTCCTAAGTACAATGTAGTATTTATAAAAATTAGGAACATATTTTTGATGTGTACAATTTATGATAATAAGTTGTTTTTTTTTGTTATGTTATTGATCAGTTTTTATTTCTTAGCAAAGGAAAAATAAATTTATGATTCTCTTTTAAACATTTAGGTTAATAAATAGTTGTAATTGTTTTGTAGCAGCAGTAGTAGCAGTAGTAATGCTAGTACTCACCACCACGCTCAGCAGAGACCACTTGTTCCAGATCTGAGTAGTCTCCATCAAAAATTAGCCAAACTAACAGTGCTACCACCACATGGTCGTCCAGGAACACCAACTACCATCCCACTAAGGACTTTATCTGCTCCTTCTTTTCGACATGTAATAGCAAGAGTTTATACTATATCTGTTTTTGTAAAAGTTATCTAAAAGTATTTAAAATATTTTCACAAAAATATCTCCTTAGTAAATTATCTTTCATACAAATAGAAAAATTTTAATTTTTTTTAGTCTCATGATGTTAAAAGTCTCTGTAAATAGTATAATATGATTTTGAGTCAATAAATCTGAATATGTATGTTTTAGTGAAACAATAGTTATTAATGTAAGACAAAAACTCGCTACCTTATTTCCATCAATAAGTTACATAAATTTTATGCCGGATAAGGAGGTTTAGTAGTATACAGAGATTGAGTACTTTATATTAAAATGATTTTGGAGCCCCACCATGTTGTTACAGTGCATGCTGTCACATCCAATCTTGCCATATCTGATGATCATACATATTTGAAATAGCTCTACAGCATACTTTTCACTGCAAAAGACTCAGGTTTATGCACACCAATTCTCCCTGCTTGTTTTCCATAACCCATATAGTATGTGAGGGTGATGGTTTCTTGGTGCCTGTTGCAATGGTCTGATTGCTAGGTCTAGAGGAACTGCATCCAGTGACTTGACTGCAGTGATTTTATATGGAACAATGTGAATACCAGTTTTCTTCTCGAGCTGGTTGAGGCATTCGACAGTTTGATGGAAGCAACTTGTGTCCCATTTCCTGTATCACTTTTACAGGTAAAGATCCTTGCTTATGTTGTGTACTTTGGACTCATGAAAAGCTTTTGCCCCTGATATTTGTGGATCCTCATCTGTTATAAGACACCTCAATTTACATACAATAGCTGGCACACGACATGTTTCAGGTCTTTTTCCGGATGGTCCTTGTGCCCCAAGTTTATCCATATTCTTTTGTTTAACACTGTTAATTATTACAAGGGATATTCCCATCTTGGAAATTTTAAATCTATGATGTGAACACATCTTTGTGATCTGAGTAGTTTATGTTGGAAAGAGCTATTACATACCCTTGTGAAAAGTGATCAATTTTTGGTGGCTACGTATAAAATGATCAAATTTTGATGGCATTATGCTATGTATAAAGTGCTAAACAATTTGAAAATGCAGTTCTGATAAACATTTATTCACTGTGACTATATTGGCTATGGTTATCATGTAACTTTCTGAATTCAATACTCAAAAATCATTTTAACATAACTTGCTCAAATCTCTTTAAACATTAATCTATTCAATGTGTTTAGTAAAAATTCTTTCAGGTTGCAAAATTTACTATAAAATATAAGATTTGCTTATTACTATCAACTGTTATGGACAAGATGATAATATTCAAGATTTATTACTGCGTATGTACAAATGTTGTTCTAAGGATTTCTATTGTAGGGTGAGTTCTTTAAAATTATTTGGTTAAAAGAAAAATGCAAAGTTCAGTCTGACTAACAATAACAAGAGCATTTTATTTCTTTAAGCTTCTAAAAGCTTCATATGTTAAACTAACACTCACCGAGCTTTAGGCTGAACTTCACAAGTAATGCTAAGATATGTTACTTATTAATTTTCTTGTGTCAACAATACTTTCATATCTCTAGTGCTTCATTAAAACACAAACTCAATATGTACAAAACCAAACTAACTGACTGTCTAATAATAACAGACAAGCTGACTAAGTAACTCAATAATCACTCATTGTCTACTCTAGCCTAACTCTCATCTTATACTGCTCAAATCGTTCTCTAAACTATTAATAAATTTGTTGTCCTTTCACTATGTGATGTAAAATCTCCAATTGGCTAAACAACAATACAAATGTCTGAGTTACAAAAAATAACACATACAGACTTTCAATGATAGGTTATATAATAAAATGATGTTATATATCTTTAAGGAATTACAGAAAATTTTCTTTTGACAAGTTATTTACAAAGATATTTTGACTGTTCTAAGAAATAATAACTTATAAATGTTGGAAACACTGAAATCAAACTGCACTATCATTTATTGATATATAATATAAAGATTTCTTATTCCAGTGTACCCCGAGAGTAACCACCCCTTCAGACTGGGAGGTTTCAACACCACAAGTCAGTGCTAAAAAACACAATGAAATGGCTTTACCATCATTCCCAAAGCAACTTACCAATTCTTCTGTACCAGTCTCTACATCTGGTCATGAACCAACATCACCATATCCTCCTACTCTCCCAACAGATGGTCTTCCATCCTCATCTTCAGTACCCCATGTTTGTCCTTTACCAGTGTCTAGGTCTGTAATAATTCCACAGTCTGTATCTGCCACTGTTATTTCAACCCAACCATCTCGATGTAATGGTAACTTGCCACATCTTTCCTTTAATGCAATGGAATCAGCGGTTATAAAGACTTCCTTTCCTAATTCACATTCCACTGGTGTACTATGTTCTTGGTGTGGAGACCTTTCTTCATATTCTGTGCAGTCTACAGTTGTTACTAGCCAGCCTGTCCATGATATCACAACACTCACTACTGTACCAGACTTGCTCTTTTCAACAGCTGAAACTCTATCAGTTACATCTTTGCAAACAAAAGGAATTACTTGCAAATCTGTGTGCACCACCAAACTAGAGGATCTGAAGACAGAACTGGAGAAGCTGCACAGTATCACAAGCCAGATACCAAGCAGTAACCTAGGTTTATTATAAACTTTCTTTTAAATCTTCTTTCATATAATTGCTAATAGAATGTGAAATGAGTTTTCATAAAAACATTGAAGGATTTCACTATATTAAAAGAATATCCCCATTGTAGGATTTCATTGTTGTAAAATATCATCCCCCCTAAGTAAAAGAATACCCCCCTTTACAGGATTTCATTGTAGTGAAAGAACATCCCCCCCTTTACAGAATTTCATTGTAGTAAAAGAACATCCCCCTTATAGGATTTCATTGTAGTTAAAGAACATCCCCCTTATAGGATTTCATTGTAGTAAAAGAACATCCCCCCTTATAGGATTTCATTGTAGTAAAATAACAACCCCTTTACAGGATTTCATTGCAGTAAAAGAATATCCCTCCCCTTATAGGATTTCACTGCAGTAAAATAGCACCCCCCTTATAAGATTTCATTGTAATAAAAGAACATCCCCCTTACAGGATTTTATTGCAGTAAAAGAATATCCCCCTTACAGGATTTCATTGTAGTAAAAGAACATCCTCCCCTTTTACAGAGTAAATTGTAATAAAAGAACATCCCCCTTTATAGGATTTCATTGTAGTAAAAGAACATCCCCCTTTACGGAAGTTCATTGCAGTAAAAGAATATCCCTCCCCTTATAGGATTTCATTGTAGTAAGAGAACATCCCCCTTTACGGAAGTTCATTGCAGTAAAAGAATATCCCTCCCCTTATAGGATTTAATTGTAGTAAAAGAACATCCTCCCCTTTTACAGAAGTTCATTGTAATAAAAGAACATCCCCCTTTAAGGAAGTTCATTGTAGTAAAAGAACATCCACTCCTTTACAGAATTTCATTGCATTAATAGGATGTACTTTTGCAGGATTTCATTACATCATACATTATAAATTAACATTTAAATAGATAAACATTTCCTCTGTTTAGAATATTTTTCTTTATCTGCATTTAATATTTAATTTTCTTTCGTCTTGTTGTTGTCAATAAATGAAAACATAATTTACCTGACAAACCATACAGCTAAACTATTAATTTTTGGCAACTTTAAATACAAGTCATTCTGAAAAGTTATTTGTATAAAAAACAATAATTTACATTTAGTTAAACTTTAATCAACACTGATCTCAGGATAGTTGATAAAGTTGTCATTTTGATATGTTGTTAACTCTTAGGCTAAAACCTTAAAACTTAGAATAAGACTTTAGAAACATTTTTCTTAGCACTGGGGATTAAGCAGTATTTTATGTTTTAGGGAACCTTCAGTTTTGTCACAGTATTTCGTTACCCACTGAAGCATCAACAACATTTCCTATTGATCAAGTCACCAAAAGACTTTCTCGTTTTACGGTAACACGTATACATGATGATTCTTCAAGCATCCAAACTTCTGTTAACCTTCAAATGGATGATAAAGTCATGAGAAATGTCACTGCTACTTTTGGTTCAAAATTAACTCCCACGAGTAGTTTCAAATCCACTCATTCAGCCATTTCAACTTCTCATCCAAATGTCTTAGTTTCTCCAGCAGTCACTCGAGGAAGGTTCCAAGTGCAAACAATTACAGATGATGTTAAAGCTGATACAGATTTACCAATCAAAAAATGGGACACCAATGCAAATATAGTAACATGTTGGCCCAGTACTCAGAATTTGAATACTACTCCTTCAAGGGTGAGAACTAACACTTGTCATTATAATGATGTTAGAATGAACAGTGTATTATAAGTTGGTTCTTGTTAGACAATGAAACAATAATTCTTTTAAATTAATTATCTTTTTTCTAAATGTGTCATTTTTTATGTGATGTGGTTACACAAAATGGTGCCCGGTATAGCTAAATATCATGAGAAATCTGATGTTGGATCATTGTACTAGAATATATATATACATACATAAATTACATGAGTTGCATATGAAAGTTTATCTAACGTCTTATCTAAATAATGTGTAATTTAGGTTAAAGATTTTTATGATATCTAAAACTGATTTATAGTATACACTACACCTGTTTAAACAATATTGTAGTGTATATTCACATCAGTTATATACCATTGACAATACTAATTAATAAGACAACACATTCAAATCATCATATATAAGAAAGTTACATTAGATTAGTTACATTGACTACTGGGTTGGTTTATAGTTTTGATATAAGCTAAATACTGATTATGTTAGGGAAAGAAATCAAACTGCAACTCTTGACAGTCCGAAGCACTAGTGTTTTATGAATTTTTTCTAAATATAATTTACTCTACTTTTTTATCTTACTGTTCTGAATGTCATTAATATTGTATAACCTTTCTTAAAACATTTTTGATATTAATTTTTGTTTTGTTCATTTGTAGCTCATACATTTTGTTCCCTTTTATTATTTTGATTTTGCTAATAGTTTAGACTTTTCTGCATTCTTTTATTTTATGTTTTGCTCAAGTTTTATTTTACCATTTTTACCTTTTAGCCCATCTCTTCTCAACAGATCCCCAATACTCATCACTTGCTGAATTTAGTATCATCTGATACAAATTCCCCCATGTCTAGTGATCATCAGTTGTTGACTAAATCTACCCTCTCCTTGAGGACTTGGGATCAAAACCCAGTAACATCTCATACAAATTCCCCTATGTCTAGTGATCATCAATTGTTGATTGGATCTACCCTCTCCCTGGAGACTTCTGATCAAAACTCGGTAACATCTCGCACAAATTCCTCCATGTCTAGTGATCATCAGTTGTTGACTGGATCTACCCTCTCCCTGGAGACTTTGGATCAGCTTTCTGAGAATATAAGCTCTTCCAAAGAGTTGGGTGTAGCAAGTATTCCAGTTGGATTAAAAAAGAAACTATCCCGAGTTGAGAAAAAATTTAGAGCTTCCAGTCTAGAGCATTTACCTCACTTTCCTTTAAATGATACTGATAGTGGTGTGTTTGGTATGCACAACAATTATGCTACATTTCCACAATCAGATGCTTTACACAGTTTGAAATTGGATCTGGACAGAATCATGCAGGGGATGTATATCAATCAAGCTGGGCAGTTGGTTCAAACTGGCCCAATCTTGTCCACAGGGCAACTTCTAGCCACATCAACTGAAACTTCCTCTCCGAAATCTCATAACTTTTCTTCAGTCTTGACCTTATCTAGGAAGTTAGAGGACACAAAGAAACAACCTTTCCATTATGAGAAAGATATGAGAGAAGCTGAAACCCAGACAGACAAAGTGGTTAACAGGATAGTTGATATTAACACTCCTTCTTCTAGAAAGAAAAACCTTAGAATTGGCATTCTTCAAAGTGAAGCAGCTCTTACTGTATTTCCAGGATCAAAAATGATGTGTTACAGTCATGGATCCTCTGATACATCCTTTACGCACAGTCTTCAAGATTTACATCATAGTTTTAAAGACTGCAGTCATGGATCCTCTGATATATCCTTCATGCACAGTCTTCAAGATTTACATCATAGTTTTAAAGACTGCAATCATGGATCCTCTGATACATCCTTCATGCACAGTCTTCAAGATTTACATCACAGTTTTAAAGACTGCAGTCATGGATCCTCTGATACATCCTTCATGCACAGTCTTCAAGATTTACATCATAGTTTTAAAGACTGCAGTCATGGATCCTCTGATACATCCTTCATGCACAGTCTTCATGATTTACATCATAGTTTTAAAGACTGCAGTCATCATGCAAGTTCAGACAAATACAAACGGCTCAATAGTTCAAGCCTGAAAAATGCATTTTCATGGAATATAATCCCACTTGAATTGGGATGCAGTGTTTCTGTTGAAGAATTCCTGGTAAGGAGTTAGCTGCATATTTATTTTCCTTTGAATCTGTTTTTTTTCTTCTTTTTTTCAAAACCTTTGAACAATAGGGTTTCTATTAGCTGTTTTTATTTTCCCTGTAATGGCTTCCATTTTATTTTTTCTTCTCTTCATCAGAACTTTCCAATGCTAATGTTTTTTGTACTTATTATTTCTTCAATTTACCAACATCCTCATAGGGCAATGAAATTAGCTTGTGTGTATATTAAAATACTATGTTCTTACAGTCTTAGTGAAACAGCTGTTGTTCTTAATGTAAAAAGAAATTTTTGTTGCCTCTTTAGTGGCAGAATTTTATAGTAGGAACATTTTATATTTATATTACTCAATCAGAGTCACCTCAGTGGCAGGGATCAGTTCTTAAAAATGTGGGATTTATCTGATTTTGGTTAATCTTATAAAAGATGTAGCATACAAGGAGATATGATGATTACAGTTTATAAATTAATGATGAGATATATAGTCATCATATCAAATGCGAGATATGACAGTTACAGTCATCATATCAACAGTGAGATACGATGATTAAAGTTTACAATTCAGTGATGAGATACGACAATTACAGTTTTCAATTCAGTGATAAGATACGACAATTACAGTTTTTAAACCAATGATGAGATATGACAGTTACAGTCATCGTATCAAATGCGAGATATGACAGTTACAGTCATCTATCAACAGTGAGATACGATGATTAAAGTTTACAATTCAATGATAAGATACGATGATTACAGTTTATAGTTTTCAATTCAGTGATGAGATACGACAATTACAGTTTTCAATTCAATGATAAGATACGATGATTACAGTTTAGTTTTCAATTCAGTGATGAGATACGATGATTACAGTTTTAGCCATGCTTATTTCACATAGTCAACC